AAAAAAGAAAGAAAAGAAATATGTGGTCTTCTGTATGTCTTCTAGGTGACAGTCAGAGGACAAATAGATGTTGGAGTAGAAGAATGAAGGACTATGGAGAAGCAAGATGGCTATTTTACCATGAGCATGTTAATATCACTTTGAAGAGTCAATGTACTGACAGTGCTGAAAAATCCTGGCTGCATGGATATCCTTCTTCACAGTAAGTGCCTTTTTTTTTTTTTTTTTTTTTTTTTGCAGAACCACGGATTGAGCTCAGGCCCTTGCGCTTGCCAGGGAAGCACTTATTCCACTGAGCCATCTCCCCGGCTCCTTTCTTCAAAGTAAGAAGGCCTCATCACAGAATATGTATCAAGAGACATTGCAAAGGGTAAACAAATTAAATTACAGTCCCTGTCGCTAGAAGCTTGAGGTCCAGCAGAAAACTTGGAACCTGGCCAAGCAAATAATACATGATATAATTCATTTAAAATTTGTTATATATCCAAGTGTAGTATTTGAGTCCTGATCCCATTTATTCATTCGTTCATTCATTCAACTAACATCATTTCTACTAGTAAGCCGGAGTTGAGGTCAGAGATACATAAACCATTCTGTCCCCAAGGAGCTCAGTTTGTTGAGAGAAATAGACAAGTAAACAAATAGTTTGGGTCATATAGCATGAACCTACCCAAGGTGCTTGGGAATGCCAAAAACAAAGCCCTCATCTGCAGGAGAGACAGGGAAAGGTATACAGGAGTTTTCCAAAATAAGAAGCTTGAGGAGATGATAACAAGTGATGAAGTCTCAGGATGTAGTCAAAAAAGGATAAAGGGGCTCAGTTATCTCCAGAAAATCTCAACAAACTCTCCCTGGTTGGAATTTACCATGCTTAGCAAAGATAAGGCAGGAAAGGTGTGAAGTGACCTGAATCTGAAAAGTCCTGCCAAGGAGTTTGAACTTTATCACACAGGCAATGGGGAAAATCAAAGAAAGTCTTAATCTGGGAAATTAAGTCATCATATATAAATCACAGGAAGCCTCCTGGTCACTGTCCTGTCTCCTTGAGCAGCCATTTACCTCTGAGTGTTATCAGTGTCTCCATCTATAAAATAGGGATAATAACTGTACCCACCTCACAGGATTAATATGAAAAGTGAGCAAACCAATTAGCACAGTGGCTGACACAACAAGTGTTCCATAAATTTTAGCCAGAATTACCAGGCATGTTTCTTAGAATGGTAACAGTGTTGGCAGCATGAAACATAAACTGTAGTGGAAAAAGCCTGATGGAAAGAGATCTTACTGAGACAATGGTGCAATTAAAATTCTAAATAAAGTCTCCAGCTAGGATTTGGATGGAGTAAGTTAGGGAGCTGCAAAGATCTAGCTTGGGAGCCTGGGTAGACGAGGACAACCATTAGCCAAATTCAGAGATCAAAGGTATCCAGAGGGTAGGAATGTGGGTGCTGGAACAGAGAAGAAGTTCAGTTTGGGACCTGTTAAATAAAAAGAAAAGCTGCTTATAATGGGAATCAGAGGACTACCAATACTTAACGTGAGTCCAGCAGAAGCGGTACTGGAGACTAGTGAGAACGATCTCACTGTCTGTGTTAACTATGTATGATGGGGACAGAGACAGACAGAGGAGACCACCATAATCGGCTGTTTATGAGATACATGCCTCCCACCGAACCCCAACATGCATACTTTTTGTTTGTTTTTTGGACCGGGAATCAAACCTAGGACCTTGCGCTTGCGAGGCAAGTAAACGCTGTTCCGCTGGGCTATATCCCCTACCCATACACCTTTTCTGCTAAGTTTTTTAATTCTTGCTTCACCGTTTTCTGCTTCTTGGAGACAGTGTTTTTCTTCTTGATCGTTCTTAAGGAAAAAAAAAAAAGGTCTAGCATCTCCCATTACGGTAAAATATAAGGGACCCTGAATTAGGGAGCAAGTAGAAGGGAGATATGGGAGGAAAATTATTTTTATGAAAAGAAAAGGAGTCCGTGACGACCTCTAATAATTAAAGTTCCACCTCCCCATATCCTGCCACGCCGCTCTCCAGCCGCGGATTTCGGGCTCCTGGTCGCGAAGTAGGACGGGAGATGTAGTCCTTAAGCCCTACCAGGGTGGCACGATTGAAGAACTCGGTTTCCCAAGTGACTCTCCAGGCGCGTGCGCAGATGGCTGCCCGGGCGAGTGGTAAACAGAGACGTCAGGCGGGGGCTGCCGCTTGGAGCAAAACAAAAGGGAAACCCGGGGGGCGGGGGGTGGGGGGTTTGATCTGGGAACTGGGACAGTAATAAGAGAGGCTGGGGCCGCCAGAACCTTGACCCTAATAAGAGCGGCGAGAAGGAAAGAGGCGGGGGAAGGGGAGCCAGGGGAGGAGCAAGTGACGGGAGGGAGCGGGTTTGGGGGAGGGCAGTGATCCGGGAGGAGGAAATTTGGGAGGAGTGTCCGGGGGGCAGCAACTTAAAAGGGGGAGGGAACTGCGGCTGAGAAGACGATCGGTGATGGGAGCGCAATGTATGAGGGGATACGGTGCCTCAGGTTTAAAAGAGCAGGAAGCTGAGTGAGAGCTTGGAGAAAGTGTCTTCGCTAGGCGGCGGTTACAGGTGGTGTCTAGAAAGAGCTCCGAGGCTCAAGGCTGTAGTCGGCAGGGGATCGGAGAGCTGTGTGGAAGGGACAGTTTAGTCCTAAAGCGGGGCGCGGGGGCAGTTCCTGACTTTCTGGGAACAGGCAGGAATGTGCCTCCTGGCCCTCGGTGCTTCCCCCCTTGGGGGGGGCATGGTGAGGGACTCTGGCAGGCTCCACTGAATGCTGAGTCGCGGAGGTCCAGTTCCACGTATGGATCCAGGGAATAAGAATTCAGCCACAGAGGCTGCCGCGATTGTAGACCTCGATCCCGACTTCAAACCCCAGAGCCGTCCGCGCTCCTGCACCTGGCCCCTTCCTAGACCAGAGCTTGCTACGGAGCCGCCTGAGCCGCCCGAGGTGGAGCCAGGTCTGGGACCGAAGGTACACACGGAGGGGCGCTCCGAGCCCATCCTGTTGCCCTCTCGGCTCCCAGAGCCGGCAGGGGGCCCCCAGCCGGGCATTCTGGGGGCAGTAACAGCAGGTCCTCGGAAGGGGGGCTCCCGCCGGAATGCCTGGGGAAATCAGTCATATGCAGAACTCATCAGCCAGGCCATTGAAAGCGCCCCGGAGAAGCGACTGACACTCGCGCAGATCTATGAATGGATGGTCCGCACTGTGCCCTACTTCAAGGACAAGGGTGACAGCAACAGCTCCGCGGGATGGAAGGTAACTATGACCCCCTTACCTGTATCCCAACACCACCTATTCCGGGGTCCCTCAGCCCCCTGACTCTTACTCTGGGACCTTTTCTTAACATCCCGCCCCTTACCTTTGGTAAGTCTCAGAGCTTAATGCTGGAGGGTCACAAATGAATTAAGACACTGCCCCTACCATGGAGAAAATCGAATTTTCTGCTCCCCGTTCAACACCTTGAGCACTTTGGTTTCGGCTGCCCCAACCCTTTATTCCCACAGAGAAGTCTTTATCCTATAAAGAATTGTGTGGATTCCCTGCCCGAACCTAGCCTTTCCTCCTCCTCCACCTTCTACCCCAACACCTTTTCTCCCGTTCCTGTGGGATTACTTGAATTCCCTGATTGCCTCCCTATACCTCAGCCTAGAGGTACTATTCTAGGATTGCTCTACCCAGAGGAAGGAGTGGGTGGCAAAGGGTAAAAAGAGTGGTATTCGTGGGGAAAAGTAGTTGATATTATGCATTAAGAAGAAAAAGGACTGTAAGCTGCTGACTCAGTTTACCCTACAAGAAATTCTCCCTTGTAAGGGGCTCTCCAAGCTTTTGGAGGTAAGTCATGATTTACTGTAGAAGAATATTACTCTTGAGAAAGGATGTAGGACTCTGACTTTAAAGTACAAGGTTGGGAGTTGCCTTGGTCTTTCAAAAGAAACTGTAGGAAAAGAACTCCCAAGATACTCTTAAAAAATTGTCCTAAGAAATACATGCTTTGATCACAAAATCAGGGAACTTCAACCCATATTAATGTGTTGCGCCTCTGTAGTTGGTGAGGTCAAAATGCAATGCAGTACAGGAACTACAATGAGCAGAGGGTCTTCCCTTAGGTATCAGAGATTAAGGGATCAAATCTACAGTATGTGGGAGGGCTGAACAGAACAGTGGACAGGACAATTGAGTGAGACCCTTTGCACTATTTCTGGGTAGACTGCCACACCAGTCTCAGCTCATAAAGAGCTCCCCTCCTTGGACCCAGCCTACACAGCTGTTTTTCTTTTCCCTTAGGTTTGTTTTCCAGGGTAGAAGAAATAACCATGAGTTGTTAGTTATACTGTGAGAGTACAGTCCCTCTTTTATAGCTTACAAAATAGTTTTAAATTTTTTCATTATATTAATCTTCACGGCAATTCTGAGAGTCTACATTTTATATATTACAAAACATAGGTACACAAAGGTTAGGAAACGTGCCTACTATCAGCATAATGAAGACTTGAACTCAGCGCTAACTATAAATCCTGTTTCTCTGAGAAGCACATGGCTTACTTTCATTAGAATAATTGCAAAACCAAATCAGACTGAGTCTGGGGCTTCCAAGGTCCCCACCAGTCTCTCTGGAGGAAGCTTGAAGCCTGAGTTGGCTTCCCTGGCACATCACCAGGGGGCGGCACTCACTTAGAACAAGAGTGCTTAGGTTAGGTGGCTTGGGTAGCAATTAACAGTCACCCGCCCCACAAGCATGTAAAAGTTTCAGACTTCTGGGGAACCCACGTCTCCCACTTGCTTGTTCCAAGGCTGAAAGAAAAAAAGATAAGCAACATAGGTACCAGGTAGTAAGGAAAGGAATTGGCTTTCTCAGTAGACCCAGAGTTAAAAGAATGAGAAGGGATGAAATCACAGCGCCAGGAGTCACTCTAGCCCTTAGTTACTAAAAGCCCAGGCCAGATGGACAAGTGCAAGTCCTTGAAGGAGCTAGAAGCATTTATAGAGCAAGAGAATTAAATTGGAGTGCCGTAACCATAAGGTCCCAGGGAGATAAGTTCTTTGGCTAAAGAGCCATGGAATAAGAAGCTGCTCAAGAGCGCTCCCCAAGCAAAGGGTCTCCTTATCTGAAAGCACCAGAGACACATGAGTGGCTCCCTGCTGTTCTTAGTCTCAGCCTCTTGCTCCTGAGTTTCTAAGCTACAGAGCTCCATGTGGGAGGTCAAATGCCCTTAAGGGTAGAGAGATTATCCACAAATTCCTGAGGAGAAGTGGGGGAAAGGAACCAAAAGGTAGGGAGGAGAAGCGGGAAACCAAAACTGGTGTAACTAGCCTTCAGCAGCCAATCAAAATGAGCTACACCCAGAGCTCAAGGAGCTGCCCATCTCAGTCTTGCTCCCTGGCCTAGGGGTAGAGTGTCCCTATCAGTATGAGATCAACGAGCCCATAGCTTCCAATACCCTAGGCACTCAAGAGCTGGTGGAACCTGGACAGGGGATTCAGCCTGTAATCCCAACACCCTCAGAGACAGAGGTAGGGAGGATCCCATTTGCAAGATCAGCCTGGGCAATTTAGTGACAGTACAGGGGCACTGATAGAGCCTCAAGGGGGAGCCTCACTGCTCTCACCCCGGGACCACTCACCAACCACGTAAGAAATACTGAATTTGGTGTGCTGTGGGCTTGGTACTCTGAGGGTGCACTGTTGGAGGTTGTGAGACTGCAGACCATTGTCTGTGTGTGCCTTTGGCAGTTACACTTGATGAGTCTAATTTCATGAAACCATAAACCATAGAGCCTCAAGGGGTAGCCTCACTGTTCTCACCCCGAGGCCACTCACCAACCTACATAGATTGGTTACAATTGTGTGGGACAGACTTAAAAATACTATGGAAGGGGCTGGTGAGATGGCTCGGTGGTCTAAAGCACCTACTTAGAACAAGCTTAGCAAAGCATCAGGGACCGCGGTTCAATCCCCCAGCACCACATGCCAGCCAGCCCCACCCCCTGGCGCGCTGAGCTGGCCACACACACACACACACACACACACACACATAAAATTTTAAAAAAAAAAACTATGGAAGAAATCTAGCTGTCAAGTCAAGCAACTACTTTATAAAAGAGGTAGTACTTAAGCTTGGTTTTGAATAACTAGGAGAATTTAGAGAGGAGATCCTATCTAGGGGAAAAAAGGAGGGATAGATTGTGCCTCATAAATGTGGTGAAGGGTGTGTGTTGCCAATCGGCAGAAATAAAGCTGAGATTCAGGGGGAGGGAAAGGACTCTTCCAGTCCTACGGAGAGCTAGTGGTCCAAATGCTTAGTGGGGAAAGGAGCACCAGCTGCATTCAAGTTCCAGCCCCTCAGCCTCTTCAGAGAAGTGGCCTAGGTCAGAGATGTATGAAAACCATCTTATAATCTCCACCTAGCCTGTCAAGAAAAGGGGTGAAAGACCATGGATATAGCTCAGCAGCATAAGCGCCCACCTGGCAAGCACAAGGTTCCAAGTTTGATCCCAAGTACAAAGGAAAAAAAAAGGTAGAAACCGGGCAGGGTGGCACACACCTGTAATCCCAGTACTTGGGAGGCTCGCGCAGGAGGATCACTGTGAGTGAGACCATCCTGGGCCACATAGCAAGAGACTCTGTTACAGAAAGAGAGACAGAGAGAAAAGAGGTGGAGCGTGGAATACTTTTTCCCATCTGAACTTTAGTTCTTGCTGGGTCATTAGCCCCAGGTACTCCTCAGACACTAAGGAAGAGCTTTCCCCAGGTGAGCACTCTGCCTTTGCAGTGGGTTATTATTATCTTGGGTACCCCAGTTTAGAAGTCAGGGGCAGAGCCTGAGCCACTTGTCCTAGAAAGGGAACTGTGTATGGCCTCCTTCCCTTCCCTCCCCGTCTTCAGCCCCTTCCTCGCCCCTCTGCCAATTTCCCCCCTGATCTGACTTGGAGTCTCCAGGTACAGCCCTACTGTGTCCCAGCCTCCCCTTCCCACACCTCCTGACCCTTTCCTGCTTACTCTGCCCCCTCCAGAATTCTATCCGCCACAACCTGTCCTTGCACAGCAAGTTCATCAAGGTTCACAACGAGGCCACAGGCAAGAGCTCGTGGTGGATGTTGAACCCTGAGGGAGGCAAGAGCGGCAAGGCACCCCGCCGCAGGGCTGCTTCCATGGATAGCACCAGCAAGCTGCTTCGGGGCCGCAGCAAGGCCCCCAAGAAGAAACCATCTGTGCTTCCAGCTCCGCCTGAAGGTGCCACTCCCACAAGCCCTATGGGCCACTTCGCCAAGTGGTCTGGCAGCCCTTGCTCTCGAAGCCGTGAGGAAGCCGATGTGTGGACCACCTTCCGTCCACGAAGCAGTTCAAATGCCAGCACTGTCAGCACTCGTTTGTCCCCCATGGGACCAGAATCTGAGATGCTGGCAGAGGAGGAAATACCAGCGTCAGTCAGCAGCTATGCAGGGGGTGTCCCCCCGCTAAATGAAGATCTAGAGCTGCTGGATGGGCTCAATCTCACATCTCCCCACTCGCTGCTATCCCAGAGCAGCCTGTCAGGCTTTTCTCTGCAGCATGCCGGGCTTACTGGCCCCTTACACGCCTATAGCGCCCCCCTCTTTGGTGCAGCAGAAGGGCCCCTGTCAGCAGGAGAAGGGTGCTTCTCAAGCTCCCAGTCTCTGGAGGCCCTGCTGACCTCTGAGACACCACCACCACCTGCTGCCGATGTCCTCATGACCCAGGTAGATCCTATTCTGTCCCAGGCTCCCACACTTCTGTTGCTGGGGGGAATACCTTCCTCCAGTAAGCTGCCCACCGGAGTGGGCCTATGTTCCAAGCCCCTAGATGCCCCGGGCCCCAGCAATCTGGTTCCCAGCCTTCCTGTAGTGGTGCCAGCTCCAGTCATGGCAGGTGCTCCCATGCCCAAGGCCCTGGGAACTCCTGCGCTCACACCTTCTGCTGGAGCAGCAGGCCACGACAGAATGCCTCAGGATCTAGATCTTGATATGTACATGGAGAACCTGGAGTGTGACGTGGATAACATCATCAGTGACCTCATGGATGAGGGTGAGGGACTGGACTTCAACTTTGAGCCAGGTATGGCACCCTAGAATCACCTTAGCATCTCAAAACCTTTGTCTGCTCCTGAATGTCCAGCTGAGCCAGGGAGGGATTTAGAAAAAGGGGTAGTTGGAGCTTCTGGACAACTGGAGAGAAGATGACATATAATAGTGACAGTTTCCAAATGGGACTTCAGGCACCTCAGTAGTACCTTACCCCCACAAGGCAGCAGAGAAGGGGTATGTGCATAGGGAGAGGGTGTCTCTGATTTCCTGGGCATGAGTCTGGATGGTGGGGATCTGGCCTGCCCTCAGATGAATCTCTTACTTTGTCCTCTGTTTCTTCTTCCCACAGATCCCTGAGTCGTGGCTGGAAGCTTTGTCCCCTGCTTCAGAGATGGAGCCAGATGCATTCATATCCACTCCTTTCCCTTGAGCCCTCCCCAGGAATTTGAGACCCTGCTCCAGAGCTAGGGTGGGGTCTAGTCACACAAACGGGTATTGAGGATTGTGAAGATAAAGCTGCCCCATATGGGGTTGCTGGGGGGTGAGGGGAAGGGAAGAGTTTATTCTCACTGTGCCAATTAGGAGGTAAGGCCCTTTCTCTGGAGCCATCCTCAGCTTCCCCCATTCCCATCCCTAGAAGCAGGGGCCAGCAATGCTGTTGGAAATGTGAAGTCACCAGTGGCCTTACCCCTGCCTTTGGGAGCAGGGTTTTTTGTAGAGTCTTATCTGAGCTAGACCAGGCTAAATTGAGCCTGGGATTTTTATGCAGTGGCCCCTTAGGCCAGTGGTGTGGGGTGGGTGGGTGGGTGGGTGGGATAGGGGACCTTAAAGAGCCAAAGGTCTGAGCACTGGAGTGGCTCACCAGGCCAGTCACCTTTGGAAGGCTGCAGATAACAGAAAGGCTTTTTATAATCTTTTTAAAGAAATATAAACACAAATATAGAGATTTTTAATAGTGGCAAGGTGCTAGTGATGGCAAGAATGCTTTATTCTTTCTGAAGGCTTTGTCATAGTGACATGATACACTACAGACAGTACTAGGGGAGACACAGGGAGCAGGGGTGAGGAGGGGAGCAGTAGCAAACAAGAAGAGCTTCCATTTGGACCAGATCTGGAAAAAAGATCCAGCATGCCTAAGTTAGAGTTGCCCTAAGAAAAAACTTAAGCCAAGTGCCCTCCAGTCAATTTATACCAGTGGGGGCAAATGCGCTGCAGCAGGCTGTTTCATCGAAAGCTCTTAAGAGTGTTCACCATCACTGATGTGGACCTAGGAGAGTGTGGTGCTGTGGTGTGGCCACCCTCTTGTATGACCCAAAGTAGGTTCTTGCTACTGGGGGAGTGTGTTGAAGGCCTGAAATTAGCTTGGGGCCTGGCAGAGGGTGGGAGAGGAGAAGAGGAGGAAAGGATTTAGAATGGTAAAGTTAGGTACAGAGACTTCCCTATGCAAGGCCCCTGACAGCTGTCCCTGCCCTTCTTTTCCTTCCCTGACTATGGGGGGTTTCTGTGGAAGCAGGGGAGGGAGGAGCCGGGAAGCTTGCCTGAGGGTCTGGGAAGTGGGCAGAGAAGGGCGAATGTGGATCAGGTTTACCAGCACCTGCTAGGGAGGCCATCTGCATTTCTTTCTCTACTTCGGCCCCCAACGCAGGCCCTCCCTCAGTGACCTTTGCACTGTCCCCTCCCCCACCCTTGCTGTGGGTTCCCATCATTTCCTGTGTCCGTGCTTGGCTACCCAGATTGTATCATGTGCTAGATTTGAGTGGGAAAGTGTGTCAAATCAATAAACGAATAAATTCAATAAATGCCTATAACCAGCTCATGTTTCTGCTGCCTTGCTGCTCCCCTCCAACAAGGAAAAGGGCAGTTAAGTCAAGGTCGGGTGGGATGGACTGCCAGGAGGCAGACAAGTGGGGATGGGGGTGGGGGAACTTCAGCCTGGGAGGTAGTGGAGGGTGTGTGAGAGGGCCACCTAACCAGACGTAGGCCTCCTAGTGCATGGTAGGCCGGTTTGAGAAGACACCATCCCCCTTCCCCATCCCTCAAAGAATCCTTGTACTTGATTTCAGTCTTCCTTCCCACCCCCCACAACCTTGTGCTTGCTATCCTTCCCTCTGTTCTCCTCCACCCTGGAGCCTCCTCAGTGCCCTGAGGCCTAGTGAAACCTTAGCACAGGTAGTGGGGAGGAGTCTTGGAAAAGTACCTTTCTGAGCCAACTACTGGAGAGGCTGAGGCAGGAGGATCACAAATTCCAGCCCCTGGGCAATTTAGCAAGACCCTGTCTCAAAAAGAGCTGAGGATGTAGTTCAGTGGTAGAGAACCCATGGGCTCAATCCCCAGTAGTTGAAGAAAAAAGAAAAAGGAACATGTTAAATTCCAGAAATTCCGTGTGTGTGTGTGTGTGTGTGTGTGTGTGTGTGTGTGTGTGTAACAGGGGATTGAACTCGGGCCCTTGAGCTTGCCTGGGAAGCGCTTATTCCACTGAGCCATCTTCCCCGGCCCAAATTCCAGAAATTTCATACCCAGAGTACTGTTCTCCTTTAGTTGCTTTATTGAGTTAGCGATGTCTCCGGGGGTGAAAATCCACTTTGCCCCTGTTGTGGCCCTTTCGAGGAGGAGTCGTGTGGGACTGGGAGTGGGAGTGGGAGTGGTCGTCTGATTTTCCAGATTTGGACTAAAAAAAGGAAATTAGGTAGATTAAACAAGGAGGCCCTGCAGGGAAGGTAATAGAGGGACAAAAGGAGACATGGATTCAAAAAGGAAATTCAAGGCCTTAAGCAGAAGGGAGGAATATCCAGTTTGCTGATGGGAAGAGGACAAGGCACATTTCAGGACTTACTGAGAGGTTCAGAGTGGATTCAATTACAGCGACCCTCTTGGCTTCTATGATTTTCAGTGCCTTCACTCGGTTTCTCTCTAAGGTCTCACATTGTGCACGAAGAGCATCTAGGAACCAAGAAAGAGCACTGCACTTTCAAGAGCTTGAGAATTTACCCATACTGATCCTCCCACCATTCAGATGATCAGTGGGAGTAACCTGGCCTAAGACATTAAAATGATAGCGTGGTACTAGGGAGAGATACACAGAGGAGAGAAACGGGGTGGGGATGACACCTGCACATTCTACCTGGATTTCACTAAACATCCCTCCACACGTAGACCTACACCCTGTCCCCCTCTTCTCTAGCTTATATGATCCCACCTACTGTGGCCTCACCATACATTTCCCATCATAAAGCTATGTAGCACATTCCACCTTCTTCCCTCTCCCATCATGCTCCTTACCAACCATTTCGGGGTCTGGATTCTTCAGGATGGGCACAATAGCTCTGTAGGAATTCTCAATTCTTGTTCCTGTGAACATAACAGTGTAATATCCCCAGCCCCAGTCACCTAGTCTGCACCCTTGTGAAGTCCAAGATTTCAGGATTCTGACACTAAAATACTGCCATGAGTTGATTTGCCTTATTGCTCCCCCTAGGTATGGACATAAGGGGGAGCTGTAGACACTGAGAAGGAGAGGGTGAACCTAACTTTGTCAAAGAGGCAGTGCCCTGTCTCAGCCTTCTTAAAAATGGTCAATTTGAATCTGGTGAAAGGTGTCCTACTTTAAGGATAAAGCTCATTATTGGTCTTCAGGGTCCTTGCTGTATCTCTAGAGAATATGCTCAAACCTCTACCTGGTGCCCCACGCTGCACCTTACAAACATAGTAGGTGTTTCGAACTGTAAGGAATTTGGTGGCATATTCTCCACGGGTCTTCGTGATGAAAAACATCTTCAGTGTCCCCGATTCATCACACAAATCGATGATGCCTGGAGGAAGGCCACAGGATAATTGGGGCAGATGAGAACGGAAAGAACCAGGGATCCTCCAGACTGGGTTGGAGGAAGCTGTAGGGATATGAGTAACTCTTCTTGTCAAGAGAAGGGTTTGACAACTAAACATGACTCTACTACCCCCGACCTTGGCCATTAGCCCCCTCCCCCAACTCCTCACCTCGTCTACGCAAGCCCACTTTACGACGGATGTAATGCATCAACAGGCGGACAGGGCAATTGAGATTAACCAGAAACTCCTGGTTATCTGAGAAGAGATAGGATGGGATGTTATGGACCCTTCTATAGTTACACCAGCAGGGGATATAACTCAGTGGCATAAACACCTGCCTGGCAAGTACAAGGTCCTGAATTTGATCCCCAGTACAAAAACTAGAGGAAGAGGAAGAGGAAGGAGAAACTACAGTTGAACCATCTATGTGATCTCCGTTGTCCTCAAGCCTCCCCACACCCATTCCCAGATCTCCAGCTCTGTGTGCCTCTCACCTCCATGTTTGATGAATGCAAACATGCTCTCAAGATCATCTCACTCTTCAGAGCGTGCCCTGTTGAGTTTCATGGAAGGAGGGTGTTCTAGAGGTCCTGGGAGGAGGCCGAGTGGGCCCGTAGCATTAACAGCCTGGAGGGGCAGCTAGATCTCACAACCTGAGAAGGCTCAGACTGGGCAGATGGGAGAAAGCTACTGGCAGTTGTGGATAACCAGCAACTTGGGTGGGGCCTGAGGCCCAGGTGAGGGATTGTGAGGTCAGAAGGGGTATTTGTAGCAGAAGGTGGAGTAAGGCTGAAGAGAGAAGAACTTGGGTGGGGTCTTGAAAAGATTTGTTGGGGATGGCATGGGGGAGGTGTAAGTGCAAAACTAAACTGGACCTGGAACGGCAGCAGAAACTTACTGAAGAAAAGCAAGTTTCCAGAACAATCCTCCTTTTTAGTTAATTTGTAGTACTATAACTTCTACAACATGACTCTACTTTCCCCTCTCCTAGCAACATGACTCCCACCCTCCTCACACCCCATATTTTCCCTGCTCCCCACCCCCATGACAGACATGCTTGATGATTAGGAACAGAAACTTTATTTCTCATCGATTCTGGAACAATTGAAGGATAGGTAGTACAAGGGAGGGAAAGAGGGAGAAAGAATCCTGTAAAAAAGGAAGGGCCAGCCTGAGGGTGATAACAAACACGTATAGGGCAGAGGGGCATTTCTCAAGTAAGGGATACTGAATGAAGGGGCAGTTATACAGGGCACCAAATCCAAAATGAGCCACACAGGATGGAATACACATTGGGCATTTTATCAGAAGGGTGGATGAGAGGGAGTCAGTACCACTCAGGGGTATGGGATGCTGGGCTTCTGTCAGGGAACTGGGGCTCAGGTTTTGGACTTCAGGGTGTAACATGGGGAGGCCCTGTAGGGCTGGCTGCAGGAGGATCCCCCTGGCCCCTCCCCTGGGCTTCTTCTTTTAGGGGAACCTCACTGACATGGCAGAGCCGTTCACTGTAGTCTGGTTGCAAACTCTCAGCCAGTCCCTTAGACACACCACTCCAGGCCTAAAGACAGATAGCCCCTGGTCAAAGGTCAGTTAGGGACAGGAAGCAAAAAGCACAAGCTCTGAACCAGAGCAGCTCTCAAGATATCTGCAACCACTGTGATTACAGATGGGACGTCAGATTCCTAGACCCTCAATACCACCGTTTTCATCTGTCTCCCACAACCTATAATCCATTCTTTTATGGGTCTCTCTGTCATCCATCCCCCATTTGGTAGGCCACATCCTGACAGTGCAGGCCCCTCCCCCTCTACTCTGGCCTCCTCCCCCACCAGCATCTATCTTGCTGGCCAGTAGTTAGCAATTGACAGACTTCAATACATTTGATAGCGTTCTCACCGAAAAGTTACCATGGTATTCAGTGACCAGATCCTCTAGGTTCTTGAGGGTGGGAATTCGAGGCATTGTCCTGACAGGAGAAAAAGAGAATGGGTCCATGTAAGTTAAAGTTCTTTTGGTACCCTTCTTCTAGTCTTCCTGTCTGAAATGAAGGAATTCTGATTCTGGTTTTTGTGCCTGTAGCTTCCTCCCATCACCATACTTTCTTGGGTGATCCCTCATTCCTTCGTGTCTTGCCCTCTAGCCGTGGAGACCCTGAAATAATCTTCATTCACTCCTCCCAAGCACCCTACTTCATTTGTTTCAGCTTTCTGAAATCTCACCGTTCCAGCCAGCAATACACAAAGAAGAGGGTAATAATCAATCCCATGGAGCCGACAGGAATAAGCACAGCTTTTGTTATAAACAACCACGGATTCTCTATAGAAAAAAAAGAGAGGAAAAATGAACCTTTTTTTGTGCCCTCTCCCATGATGAGGACAGTAGGCATCTTGTGAAACATACTCCCTCTACTTAATTTTCGGTAAGGCCAGGCGTGGTGGAGCATGCCTATAATCCCAGCACTTGGGAGGCTGAGGCAGGAGGATCACTGTGAATTTGAGACCAGCCTGGGCAACAGTCAGCTCAAGGCCAGCCTGAACTGCATAGCAGACCCTGTCTCAAAAAAATATATTTTTTCACTGCAAAAGAACAATCATTATCTACATTTTACAGATGAGAAAACAGAATCAAAGAGTGGTTGGTCTGGTTGCAAGGCCGTCTTCACCATGCAGGCTCTCTGGAATGCTGATCATACACATTCCATACCCCCCCTGAGCACCTTTTGGCCTCCTTTTTCAACACAGCACAAGCCTACAGGGAAAAACCCCAGGTCCTAGGAATTGAAGTTGAACAGTGAGGGGAGGCGAGGGGAGGAGCATGCTTGGAGGCTTACAGCCAGGGAGGCAGAGCAAAAGACTGCCTGTTAGACAGGTGAGGGTGCTGGGTATGGCTTGGGATCACAGGGGCGTCTGCCTGGCAAGCGCGAGGTCCGAGTTGGAAAAAAAAATGATGGATTGGGATCATGTATTTGACCCATTTTACCCTTGGAAGTACTGCTTCCCCAGTCGATCGGGTGGCTCCACTCACTCCAATGCTGAGCACTTCCACAGAGTGGGTTAAAGCGGCTCCGAACCCGGAATGTGTACAATTTCTGCCCATCCACACTAGGAAGGGAGAAGCTTTGTTTGTGATCCACTTGTTGTTCCTTGGGAAGAAAGAAGGCGAGGAAAAGGTCAGTGTACATAAAGGAAGCCAAAATTAAAATACACTCTTGCCTGTTCTTCAGGGTCACCTGGTTCTTCCAAGTTCTGGTTCTTCCCAGTTCCAAAGAAACCTGTTTCTGGCTCTCCCCTCCTCTCTCTTTTTTTATTTATTTCTATTAATACATGTTTGCAGTACATAATGATCACATCCAACTTGGGGGATTTGTACGTGTACATAACACATCTTAATTTCGGTTTTCCCCCCTCCTTTCCCCTCCCTCTGCCCTTTTCCTCCTCGCTTAACAATTCAAGCCAGGCTTCTCCCTTCACTGACTTGAATCTAATGCCTGGTCTCCAGATCCCTTTAATGATGTGCCTTTGTTTACTTCTCTGTCTGATCTCAGGAAGCCTCTGGACAGGGAATTCACCGAGGATGGTAGAGAACGGAGTTGGAAGAGGGCAGGGTTAAAGGAGCAGAGGAGCTGGGAGGCAAAGAACAGGAGCTTGGTCTAAGTTCCTTCCAGCTGAGTGATTGAGCATCTTAGCTCCATGTGCTTGGGCTTAGCTGCTGAATTCCTGTCCCCAATCACTCACAGTCCAGCTGCTATCCCAGTCGTTCCGATACTGCACCAAATGCTGCAAACAGTGGTCCCGGGGGTATCTGTTTTTCCAGGTCAGTTCTAGCTGGGATTCACTCAGGTTGTGAAGTGTTAGATTCTCTGGAGCCCAGGGGATCACTGGAGACATTTGTGCATGTGCGGTCATTCCCCTGGCCTACACAAGTCTGGATCTTAAAAGTAGTTCCCCTCACCCCTCCTCCCTTCTTCCTCTTGATCCCCCACCTCTTCCTTTCTGTGTAACACAGAGGGGAAAGAACACTACTCCACTGACTCCGATGCCTCACAGCAGCCCCGACCTCTTGGCCACTTCTTTCCAGATTACCCAGATTCTGTAGTTTTAGCTTCTGTTCCATCTGCCTCCTGGGTTCTCGTGGGTCCTGGAGCCAGACAAAAAATGTTTCATAGAGCCGGATCTGATTTTCTTGCAGCCAACAGCCAGAAGTGATCTGTTTTGAAAACAGATAGTGACCACACTCCTGGACTTCATAACTATCAGACTTCTTGTACCTGGAGAAAGGTGGGAAGGAAGAGAAATAGGGTAAAGTTGGGTACTGGATATGTCCACGACCTAACTCATTTGATCTAAACTGACATATAATTTATATCCCAACAGGAAATGGAAGGGTGCCTGAGAGGCTGGCCACCCGCTTCCTTGGTCCCCTTGTAGTCTCTCTCGTTCACCCCCTCTTTTCCTCCCCTGCATGTCCGCTCTTCTCTTCTCATACCCATATCGCAGAGTCAGGTTGGTAGGCTGGGGCTCAGAGCTGCTATTCCAAGTGCAGTTCATGTACTCGCCATTGAACACAAAGCACTGAACCTCTGGGAGGGGCAAAGTGGAAATGCTGAGAGAGCCGGGGGTCTCAGAGGTCAAGAAGAAATCTAGGTTGGGGAAAAAACAAAGTGGGAGAGGAAAAAAGAAGAAATAGTGTGAAGCAGGGAACCTCTCGTCTGGCCCTCCCCACTCTACTCTTCAGTTCTCCCTCAACTGTTGTGAAGGCCACTGGCAGGGTTCAGACTGCTACACGGCCCCATCCCATAGCCTCTGCACCAACCCCCTTCAATCCCAGATTCCCCACCAGCTGTGGTGTCTTCATTACCACTGGGCTTGAGGACTGTGGTATTCAGCCCCAGCCCTAGCAGAAGTAGCTGCAGGAGTAGGAGGGATCTCAGTAGCAGTAATGGCTTCAACATGGCGCTTGGTCTTTGTTCCCTGGGTGTAGTCTGTGCCGGGAACCACTCTCTAGCCCTCCCCACCCACACATTTCCTTCTGTCATAGCTTCCGGTGGAAAGAACCTTACAAACCAGGGTTTTGCAGAGGGTGTGACAAATGTGTTCAGTGACACAGGCTAAGTCCTCTGGGAGATTAGGCGCCACTGTAAGGCGGAGCTAAAGAGAGACTAAAGAGAGTATATAATACTCTCACAGATTCAAGAATCCTCAGAGCACCTACAACCTAGGAGAGATCTGCTCACCTCCACTACTGCCTTTCCCAACTACCTGCTCTAAGACATCTTTTTTAAAATGTTTATTTATTATTCATCATTTTATTGCTTTTTTTTCTGTCCTTTTGAGACAGGGTCTCACTATGCAGTTCAAGCTGAACTTCAGGTCACTTGGTAGCCCTGGCTGATGTCTAACTCACAAAGACCCTCCTGCCTCAGCCTCTGGAGTGCTGGGATTACAGAGGTGTGCCACCACGCCCAGCTTTTATTGTTTTTTTTTTTTTTTGAGACAAAGTCTCACTATGTAGTTAAAGCTAGCCCTAAGGGCTGGGAAGATAGCTCAGTGCATTAAGTGTTTGCCTGGCAAGCACAAGGTCCTGAGTTCAATTCCTGGTGCCAGAAATATTTTTTTAAAAAACTAAGCATATTTTTGGGCAGGGGAGATAGCTCAGTAGAATAAGTGCTTGTCTGGGAAGCACAAGGTCCTGAGTTCAATCCCCGGTACCACAAAAAAAAAAAAAGAAGCTGGTCTTAAACTCACTATGTAGCTCAGTGGCCTCGAACTTGCAGAGATCCTACCTCAGCCTCCTGAGTTACAGGTGTGCACACCATGTATAGCTGTCTAAATCATTGTCTTTTATGGTGAAGGCTTGAACACAACTACCATTCTATAATATAATACTTTCTTGATTCATTCACCCTTAAATGTATCAAAGCTATATGGTCCTGGGATGATAGAAAATACTGTCATGGCACCTGTAGGCACATATATAGCTGTCTTCCATAACCTGATCATAACCAGAATACCCACTTGGAGCTGCTGCATCTGCCTTAGAAATGGAAAAACAGGGGCTGGGGAGACAGCTCAGTAGGATAAGTGCCTGCCTGGCAAGTGCAGGGTTCTGCGTTCAATCCCGGTACCACAAAAATAAAAAAAGAAAAAGAGAAAGAGAAAAAACAGTAATACTAGTTTCAAGCTCCGAATCTTCCTCCAAATCCACTTTTCTTCCTGTCTTCCCTATATCAGTCAATAATATCATCACCCTCTCAGTCACACAGACTTGAAACCTCAGTGTCCTGTTCAATATCTTCCTCAATCCAGTCCAGTCTGCTTCTGTGGTATTGCTCCCAGTCATTTCCTCCCTTCTATTCCCACAGCTGCTGTGATAAATCAGCCTTTCCTTAAATCAAGTCAGGATTATCACTGAAACCCACTAATCTGTCTTCCTTTCTGAAGGTCTTTTGCCCTCTAATCTAGTCTTTACTCTGTTGCCAGGCTTACCTTCTCCCAAACACAAAGCTGGTTGGAAAAGCTATTTACAGAAATCGTTTCTTTTCCTCTCAATATGTTGAGATGTTTTATTTTGTTTGGTTTTTGAGTTAAGGTCTCACTAACTTGCCAGGACTGACCATGAACTCTTGATCCTCCTGCTTTGGCTTCCTAAATGCTGGGATTACAGGCGTGCACCACCATGCCTAGCTACAGAGATTATTTATACAGAAAGCATGTATTGAGTGTTTAATAATGTGCCAGTCTTCGATAATGTGCCATTTTGAGAATATACAGATAAATAAGATACCCTTATTATCCCAGAAGCTCATTGATAAGTGGGGAAGACATAAACAAATAATGCAGTATAGTGTGAATTCCATAGCATAGATATGAAGACATCCCAAAGTATGTGACCCGAGAAGGGGAAGTAACTAAATTTACCAAGATGGGGAGTGCAGTAGTTCAGGGAAGCTTTGCTGAATGGCTGGTTTTTGAACAGAATCTTACAGAATGGGCTAGGTATCCTGACTCAGGTCTGCATTCCCAGCACTCAGGAGGATGAAGCAGGAGGATCACCAGGAGTTCAAGGTCTGCCTGGACTACATTGTGTGTTCCAGCTGTTTGCTTTTTTTTTCAAGATGCAATAGCTCTCATGGCAGGCAGAAATCTCTAAGAGCAACATGTTTGTGCAGGCTAGGTCACACCTAACCTGAACAATGTATCAAGAGACTGATCTCCATGCTACCGAGGAGTGGCCTCTGGCTGCTGCTTAGCAGTGAGGACAGTGAGATTTCCTGGAGGACGAAAGTAGACCAAGCCTCTACCGGCTTGGCCCGTCTTCAGCCATCACCCACTTGTCTCCATTGTCCTGCAGCATTGCGCGTTCAAGATTGGCCTGAACTACCAATGCCTTGTCTCAAAACACTAAAAAGAGTGTGATTTTACAAGACAAATAAAGGGGTAGGACATTTGGCAGAGGACAAAAGTACTTGAATGGGGTCTCAGGAAACTGGAATATACACCTAGGACGTATTAGTTGGCTAGGGCTGCCATAACAAATTACCCCAAACTTTAAAACAAACAGAAATTTATTTTCTTTTTTTTCTTTTTGCGGAACCGGGGATTGAACTCAGGCCCTTGCACTTGCCAGGCAAGTGCTTATTCTACTGAGCTATTTCTCCGGCCCCCAGAAATTTATTTTCTCACAATTCTGGAGGCCACAATCCTGAAATCCGGCTGATGTATATGAATCTCCACCTCCAGGCCTCACATATGCTGGGCAAGAGCACTACCGTGGACCTACATCTCCAGCAACAATCAACTTGGGTTTTTTTTGGGGAGGTGGGGTTGTTTTGTTTCGTTTTGTTTTTTTTCCAGAACCGGGGATTGAACTCAGGCCCTTACACTTGCCAGGGAACTGTTTATTCTACTGAGCCATCTCCCCAGGCCCAACAATCAACTTGTTTTGAGAGTTGGTTTCATGCCCCTCTCTCCCAGCTGCTGGTAACTGTTGGCAGCCCCTGGCATTGTTTGGCATTGTTTGATTTGCAGACACATCACTTCAACTTCTGCCTCTGTATACCAGCTCTTCTCTGAGCCTCCTTTATCTTTTGTTTTGGTTTTCCAGTGCTAGGGATTGAATCCAGAGCCTTGTACATGTGAGGAAAAAGCTCACAACAAACCTGCAATGCCAGCCCCTTTTTTTGTTTATTTATTTTTAATCTTGAGACAGGGCTTCACTAAATTTCTGAAGCTCTCCTTGAACTTTAGATCCTACTGCCTCAGCCTCCCAGGTAGCTGGGATTGTAGGCATGTGTTACCACAGCTGGTGAATTCTTACCTTAATTATGGCTGCTAGGGCCGGGGAGATGGCTCAGTGGAATAAGTGCTTTCCTGTCAAGCGCAAGGGCCTGAGTTCAATCCCCGGTTCTGCCAAAACAAAACAAAAAAAAATTATGGCTGCTAAGACCCTTTTGCCAAAGGAAGTCACATGCATAGGTTCTGAGTAGAGTTGCCTTTTTGGGGGGGGGGTACCAGGAATCAAACTCAGGACCTTGTGCTTGCCAGGCAGGTGCTAATACCACTGAGCTGTATCCCTGGCCCTTGGACTTACCTTTTGGAGGCAACCATTCAACCTACTGCAGAGAGGCCATTATCCAGCTTTAAAGTCTTCAAAAGCTACTCATGGTCTTCAGGATAAAGTTCAACATCCAAACTGGCAAGGCTATGGAATACAAGAAATTCTATTCATTGCTGGTGAGAATGGAAAATGCTAGCTTCATTCTCAACACCCCAAACAACCTAACAAAAACAGCAACAATCAACCCTATTTTCCCACTCACTGGTGAGTAAGTTCATTAGCAATAATCATGCTTCAGATAAACCTCATCGCTACGCTAATGCCACTGCCAAAGCTGAGGGTCATCAATTGTAAAAATGTAACCGTCTTGGGCAACATGTTACTAATGTTATGTAGGTTTGGGGGGAGGAGATATGTGGAAACTCTGTGTACTTTGTGCTCAACATTGCTGTCAGCCCAAATTTCCTCTAAAGAAACTGTCTTCCTTCATGGGTCAGGCGCAGCGATGCACTCCTGTATCCCCAGGTACTCAGAAAGGCTGATGTAGAAGGACTGAAAGTTGGAGCCAGCCTGGGCAATTTAACGAGACCCTGTCTCAATATTTTTAAAAAATGTTTAAACGTAATTTAATTGGAAATGTAATTCAGTTGGAGAGAGCCCTAGGCTGATTCCCAGTATCACAAAATAAAGAAAAGGAGAAAAAGAAAGCCCTTCAGATTTAGCTCAAATATTTCCATTGCCAATATGGTTTCCACTCCCAATCAGAACTTTTCTCTCAGGGCTGGCAAGATAGCTCAACAGACTAAGCGCCTACTTTGGCAAGCTCAGTGACCAGGGTTTGATCCCCGGTTTCACATGCCATGCCGCAGCATGTTGAGCAGGCAACAGTCAGGGCATGGTGGCGCACACCTGTAATCCCAGTGCTGGGGAGGCTGAAAACAGGAGGATCACCACAAGTCCGATCTGTGTAGTGAGACAATGTACCAAATACACAAATGGAAAAAAAAATTTTTATCACAATTGTGATGATTCAATAGTGTGTGTGTGTGTGCACGTGCACGCATATGTGTGTTACTAGAGACTGTACTCAGTTTCTTTGCAATGAGCTGTATTCCCAGCCTCCCGCCACACTCTATGTATTTATTTACTTATTTATTTTGCGGTACTGGAGATTGAACTCAGGACCCTGTGCTTGCCAGGCAGGTGCTTATTCTACTAAGCTGTCTCCTCACGCACCCCTCCACCACACTTTAAAAAAAATTTTTGAGACCAAGTCTAAATTGCTAAATTGCCTGGGGTGGGTTGAATTTGCATCCTCTTGCCTCAGTCTCCTAAAGTGCTGGGTTCCAGATATTTGCCACAGTGCCAAACTGTTGTTATTTTTGTTACTCTTGGGAGGGTGGTGCTGAGAATAGAACCTCAGATATCCTGAAGC